AAAATTATTATATATTAAATTAATTACCTACATAGTTTTTAATATTCATTTGATACATATTTATATATACGTTCTTTATAATGCAGAATTTAAGGATATTGCAAGGTATATTTTTTCACTAATTTCTTGTTTAAATTGGTGGGAATAATAATATTATAAATATACATCATCTGCTCCTTTATATATAATTTTTTTGTGCATGTTCATATTGTTAATTTACATATTATACGTGTTTGCTTAACCACAAACTAATTGAAAATGGCCGATTTGGTATGTAAAAAGAAATAATAATTTTATTTTATATGCTTGTATCCGTTAGTATACTAACATTATAATAATAATGTAAATTACAACATTATATATATTTAGCATTTACATAATAACATTTAAATCGCAGAAGAAAGTTAAAACCTTAATTCCTTCTATCATTAATTATGAGAAATTCAATGGAAATTATTTTCTAGGATATAGTAGTGACTGCAAAGATTTAGAAAAAGCGATGCATGATATGGATGATTTTCAAAACATATGCATGGATATAACAGGTGCGATAGATTTTTATAATGATCATATATATGATGATTCATTTGATAACATCTGTACGTCATTCAAATTTTGGATGTATGATTACTTAATTAAGAAGCTTGGCAAGGAAGAAAACTACAAAAAAATTAAGCATTTTATTAATACTATAAATACAATTTGGGATAGAGGTGAAAAAAGGAAAAATTGTAATATTCTTTCATACGTTGACAATGTAAATTCGGTTGATATAATGAAATGCGCTTATGATTATTCTGTTGATTATTCTACAATTGAAAATCAGCTTAGTATTACTCAGTTTAAATGCAGCAACGAGTTTTCTGAATATATTGAAAATAAGATTCTACAATATAAGTCAGCAAAACAAGAATGCGTAGATAATACAAAAGAATATTGCAATGAATTAAGAAATTTATTCATTGCACCCATGAATGAAAAATTGCTGAAATTAAGTTGTAAATTGGTAAGTAATCAAGTGTTAGGTTCTATAGCACAACAAAATTTTCATCTTACCCCCTCAGAATTTGGCAAAGAGAGAAATCAGGAAGTTCATGAGAGTGTAGATTCCACTCAGCCTTCCAAAGCAATAATGGGAGTTACTATTCCAGTATTCGGAATATTGCTATTTTTCTTCATTTTATACAAGGTAATTGTAATGTGTTTCCAACCTTTCTGTAATAATAGAATATTACACTCTGATTTTTTGTTATTCACAAAAAATATAATAAATCAAATATAATATATATTCTATATATTTTTCAGTTTTCTCCAATAGGGGCATTATTACACAACAGTTTGAGAAAAAAAGAAAAAACTCTGTTTAATTTAGATGATATATTTGACTATGGATTAAAAGATTATTTATCCGAAATTCCATCACTGAGGAACAGATTAAATATTTTATACCCTACCAGATGATGTATTTGATTTCCAAATTAGATATAAAATTTTTCAAATTTTTGATTCCATCGCAGTTTAAAGTATTAGTTTTCTAATATAATTTCATAAATAAAAAAAAAATATATATTAAAATAAAATGAACACAAAAATATAATGTGATTTATTTTGAATATATAAATATATTTAGGGAGTAAAAAAATTTTCCTTAATAAAATAACCATGAATGTTAAAAGAAAATTGTATATTATTATTATTTATAAAATTGTTATTAACAGTAAAATTCCTACATGTATTTACAAATGAAAATAGAATTTAATAAATAATTTCACAAAATATATTTACTTAAATATTATATCCTCCACTTTTTTAAAGGAATATCAAAAATATATACAGTAACAACGATATAATGTCTATTTCTTAACAGCATATATTATTTATAACAAGGATAATAATAATTAACAATAATACTTAATGAAAGTTAAAAATATAAGGAATGAAATATTATTTTAATGCAGTTGTTCTATTATATTGTCTTATATATTTTCCAATCATGGATGAAAACTTACATATAATGATTTCATATTACGAATTTAATAGAAAATATATGTTATATATAGATCAGTTATTTCCTGATGACTAATTTTATGTAATATGTTTAACTGAGCAAAATATTCGTTATCAATATTTTTAAAAAATATTACCATAATTATTCAGCTAATAAAATTTTGTAGCACCATTTGTACTATATGTAATAAATGAATAAATAAATTTAATTTAAGTCAATTTATTGTACATATTATAGTCCTCTATAATTTATATAGGTTAGATCAATACTATATTATCATAATGAAAATGTATCACATTATTAGAAGCCCTATTTGCATATATATTTAAAATGTGCTTTAACTTGATTTGTGTAAAAAATAATATTTAGATTATATAATATATATAAGAAAAAAGATTTAATATTTTATTAACTTATATAAAATCACATAAAAAATTAAGCGAATGTAATAATTCTTGTATATATTGTTCAAAGATCAATTTATTATGACATCACAAATTAACATTTACTTTTTACACCTTTTGTACCCATTATACTTTAATTAAGGATTATTAGGCATAATTTATATCTTTCATTATATTGGTTATCCAAGAAAAGGGTAAATATTAATGTTAATTAATAAAAGTCTGTAAAATATCTATTAAATATAAATGGGAAGATAAAAATTAAATAAACCTTTTCATAAAATATACAAATTAAAAGTATATATGAATTAAATTTTTAAAATAAAATTCAAAAGTTATTACTATGTATGAAATTGAAGTTATACGTAAATTTTATAATTAAAATTACTTATAATCATGATCTTTATGCTCAATATCCAGAAGCATTTCAATAATAGGTTGTAAAAGAACTAATATGTATATAACTATTATATAAATAAAAAATTAATTTGTTTTCTTCTAATTTAAATTCTTGAACTAATATTAGAGACATCATATAAATATAATGATAAAATAGAATGTAAATATTGAGAAATTAATAAATCGTCAGCATTAGTTCCCTGCTTATCTAATATCTAAGTGCCTATAACTATTACAATCATATTAACATTAATAATATCCTTTATTACATTAATTTTTTTTAAGGTTAATTATGATATTATATATATATATTATATAATAAATATTTTTTAAAAATTTAAATTATAATGCATTGTGATGAAAAATTATATTTTTAATAAATACACATCTTTACGAATTAGCTTACATTATATGTTTGATGGATTCATAATATAATAATTTCGAAAAGAGACAAATGGAATAATATACGTGGAGAAAGTGATATTTTCCAAATTCCTGAAATATGTATCAGCATTCCAAGTGTTAAGTAGTATAATGTGTTATGCAATTATTAATAATAAACTTATATATATATATAATTATAAGAAAATAAGTGAAAATCATTTTTCTTAAAATCTTTACAATAATATAGATATATGTTTCATTGAGTACATTGTTTTTTTCTAAGAAAAATTTAACATCTGGAATGTTTAGGTAGTTCCAATTTACAATCATTAAATTATAAATACGGTTAATGATGTATATACATAATACATTACTCTGTAATAATGCACAAATTACGAATAAAATGTAAATAATAGTATTTATATTATAACACTTAAATTTTTATATTACATTTATAAGCATGTGTCATTCTTATGTAATTTTGTATAAATAATATGAAAATAAAAAAAACACATTGACTTATATTTATATATATATAAATACTATAAAATTCATATGCGAATTATTTAATAATTGCAAAAGCTTTGCAATGTACTACCTTAATATGTTTATAACATATATAACACATATATGCATTGCGTGATTTAAGATTATCACTGAATGATTAATTTAAATGCTAAATTATTTAAGTGCATTCCTAATATACGTGTTAAAATAAGAACAAAAATGTCAATTAAGTATTATAATTACTTTAATATATAATAACAAAACTTATATATAATCAAAATTCATTTATTAATATCATAAATATGAAGGAAAAACCTCGTTTATGTCAAAACATATTATTTTAGTTATCAAAAATAGTAAAATGAAAAATTAATTATTTATATGTATACATAATCAAAATACTTTTTTCAGTAATGCTATATTATAAAAAAACAGGAAGAATAAAAATAAGGTATATTAAGCGTATTTAATTATTAGCACAAGCTTTAATATACATATTCATTCCTATATGTCATAACATTGTTTTATGTATTATGTACTTATTTATTTCATAAAAAATGATCTTCATACAAACAATAATATATTAAAGCAAGGAATCATGTAGCATATTCATACATCTTTTATTCACAATGTACACGCAATGTAATTAATACTTCAGCATAAATAGATTTTTTTTTGAAACCTTATAATACTAAATTAAAATAATAATATTTATTCTTTTTTATAAGAACAATTTATGCTTAATATAATGTTATTAAGTCAAATGTTCTTCAAACATACTAATACAACGTTATATATATAGTATAAATAATACAAATTATTCTAGTTATTTATTTAATTATAATATTATTCTTTATTATATAATATATTATATCTAATATTACTAGATGTATCACTAGATGCTTCATATGGTTGCAAAGAATCCCACATTTCATCAATATTGTTGAATTTATTTTTTATTCTTTTGATTAAAAGGCGTATCCATGAGTCATGTTTAGTAAACTAATTCAATATAAAAAACATTCTTATTTATAATGTATTTTTTCTATGAAAAATATATTTTTAAATATTATTTACAAAAATTTTTTTTTTATAGCATATATAAGAATAAAAAAAATCATAATTAACCTTTGACACATAAAATAAAGAATTGGATATTACTAATATTACAACAATTGGAATTATAATAAAAATTGATATATTGTACTTTTGAAAGGAAGGTAACATATGATTTTCAAATTTACCATATGATATTATTTTTATTTGTGTATTATAGTAATTTTTAAAATCATCTAGTGCATAACAAAAATCGCGATCATTATTAGATTCACATGTTTTCTTGTACTTCAAGTATAAAGAAGCACATTCTTTCAGAAGTTTGCATTCATTATCACGATTACATTTATTTTGTGACTGATTAATTTTAGTGTACATATCATATAAATCTCTGAGTTTATTCATCATACCTTTAGAAACATACTCTACATAATAACTATAGGTATCCTCATTGCTAGCACCAGATGCCCCGAGCAAGTAATCAAAAACCTTTTTTTTAACAACTATAGGTTTATTCTTAAGAATATCATGATATATCCAAAAATAAAGGTATACACAAGAAATATCGGTAATATAACCATTGTTAGATTTATATTGATGATGTAAATAATATGTACCTTTATGACATGTTTAAAAGTTCATTATGTTCTAAACTATGAACTTCATCATCTATTAAAACGCTACACAATGTTTTACCTATAAAATTTTCTTCATGATTCTTTTCATAATCCGCCAACTTATTCTTTTGTTCTTCAAAAGAGTTTACATGTTTATACTAACAAGGGTAAAAAACATTGTAATACACAAGTGATTTTGCTAGTATGTATGTAAATTGCGTATGTTATAAGCCAAAAAAAAATGATAATAAAAGGTATTTGAAGCATTATCACAATTATGCAATAAAATAATTTGAATTTACAATGTTTATATTTGCCATAGTTTATATAATCTCTTGATATTCAAAAATTAAATGAAATATATAATTTCCTTTTTAATTAAATATATATTTTATAAGAAATATACAGTTCTATATGAAATGGCATATATTTTTATTTCATTAAACATATGATATAAATAAATATTTTATAGATTTTTTTCTTGAATAAATAATAATAAAGAATACGATGAATTGAAGAAACTGTGAAAAAGAGTATAAATACAAATGATAATGAATATATATATACAAAATAATTAAACATAATAATTCATTAAAAAAATAATATTACATAATATTATATAATTTGACAAAAATTACAAGATATGTAAGATCTTTTTCTAGTTAATACTATTATATAGGATCATCCAAGTTTATACTTTTATCATTCATATAATTTTATAATGTATACGTCTAAATAAATATAATCTTTTTTATAGCACTTATTATATATGCCTGTAAATTATTCTAAATATTATGTAACAAAATTATACGTTTTTGGCATTATTATATTATTACTAATTCATTGTAGATTTTCTATTAATAAATACTTTGCGTAATACCACATATGCTATCTCTGTAGAACATTTCCATAAGTAAATTCATAATTAAAAACTATTTTTGTAAAATTACCTGTCTTCGACATATAATATTTTTATAATAGTTTTTTTAATGTATAGAATTTTTATATCATAAAAATTAATATTTAAAACTTTATAATTGTTTTGTAATTATAATTGCATATTAATTTCTTTTTTTTCTAAAAATAATAGAAATTAATAAAATGTAAATTTCCTGTTTTCCAAAACTTTTTAGATTTTACATATGATAAAGTTTATAATATACATATATGAAGTTGAATAATTATATTATTATTAAAAAAACAATAGCTGTGTTTCTTACATAAGTATAAATATACTAATTATGCGTGATATATTCCGTAACAGATAGATTAATATATGTTATTTATGATTCGTTTTTAAGTATTAATCCCTTATTGCAATAATTTAGTACACTATAATATATATTTTAATGTATTTCAAAAAAATATTTATTTATTTAGAATATATTTTTTTATTTATTATGATTTTATTAATATGGGGAGAATATTAATTATTATTCAATGATTTTCTTAACAATACATAAAATATTTGAAAGCAAGCATATCTATGTATCTTGTTTAAATAAAACAGGATTTTTATTATATTTTAATAATTTTTTCCTTTATTAGGTAAAATTTGTAAATAAATATTATTCATAAATTCATCATTAATGCATTTTATCAATAAATACATGATAAACTTATTTTATTATAAATTATATTAACCAGGATACAATGTTAAAAAAAATTATTTTCATACTTTCTTTTATATATACTAAAAAAATACCTTGTCGTATATTTATTTCACTAATTTTTACTATTAGTAGAGAATTTGGAATTTTACACATATCGTGATAAATTAAAGATGAGACTACTTTTTTTTTTTTTTTTAAACCTTACGTAATCATTATATTTTTTAAAAAATTTAGGATATTTACTCATTTGTTATATTAAGTGTTATAGTATTTATTTCATACATATTTTATATTTAAAATGTTTCGAAAGACATTGAATTATGTACATATATAGATAACATTGACTTAGTAACTTCATAATTCCATACAATTTTTATATTATTCTACTAATTTTATTAAAAGAAAAAGATTAATATATTTTAATTTGCTTATATTTTTTTCCCCTTCGGGTCACTGAAATGTGACTAATATTATTATATGATCTTATGTTCATATTTTCTCCATCGAAACTTTTAAATACAAAAGGCACATAATTAGATATAAAACATGAAAATAAAATTTCAGGAACTTAAATTATAATAACATATAAGTTTTTTCTATTTTACACGATGAATATCATAGATGTATCATAAATAATTTTCATCAATAATATGAAAATATTATTTAATAGAATTATATTCAACTAATATATATAACAGAATTATCCTGTTATTTTAAAAAAATACATTCATTTGATAATATATAAAATATTTTCTTATAATATAGAAATTACATCATTACTAGTGTATTTTACAATATATCCTCGCATTTTATTTTGAACTCAATCTCTTATAAGTATATGCTACAAAAGTGTAAATATGTTATTTTCATTAGTTTGCTAATAAAAATATATTAATTAGTATAAACACATATTAAAACTAATTTATAGATTATTGAATCTATTAGTTATATCTTGTAATATAACAATTAAATTAATCCATTATAATGTATAATGAAAGAGCCATAACAATTAATATAGTAAAAGACGGGTGTTTCCTTTAGACAATAGATGCTTGCAACAAAAAACGTCATTATGAAAAAAAATATATAAAACATTATATTTTTATATTATTTTATATTTTTAAATATACTTATAATAACCATGAAAATAGTATATAATGAAACACATAATAAAAAACTAGCATAAAAATTAATTTATAATAAAATAATTTCTACACCAGGGAAGAAAAAAGAATTATAAAATAAAATTTAATATAACAAAAGAATAAATATAAATTTTAGCCATTATGTTTTTATTATAAAAAATAGAAGGAAATTGTCCTATATTTCTCTATTAATAAATATATGTTCTTCAATTATTTAAAAACATTACTTTAAATTATATTTATTATTTTAGCCATAATTTCTATGCTATTCAAAGCTTCCATATTTTTTTATTAATTTTCATTGAATCTAAAGATTAAAAAATGTACGTTCAATGTCTTCTTTTGTGATTTTTTTTATTTCTTTTCTTCACATATTAGTTTATAACTAAGGACCAAACAATTCATACTTACAATTAAAAATATAATTTTTTTTTCTTATTAAAAGTGATTTTATAACTTTTTATGTTTGCGTTCCTTCTTACTACATTTCTTGTACATCATTATTAATGTTGGATGTTTCCTTTATAAAAAGGCAGCAATGACGAAATAAAATGATAAATTTTATTTAGGAATAATTTCAGTCTTATTATAAAAAATTAATATAGTATGGATGGATTAACACATAGTGAAAACATAGAAAAAAGGCTATATATATATGGAATGATATGGGTGGTTAAAATATAATAGAAGTATTAATTACATGATAGATTTCGTATTTCGAAATGTTAATAAATTTAAAGTAATTTGTCATTTAATTGGTAAATATATATCTAATTAGTTGGTAAGAAGACCATAAATAATAATAATTGGATAAAAAATATATTAAACTTCTATAATAATAATAAAATATATGTATTCAGAATAAAAAAAGTGTTTTATTTGAATATATTCATTATATTATACTTAATAATAACCTCTAAACCTAGATAACGATACTCTATATATTACAGATTTAAACATAGTGCCTATATCACTTTGAGGATATGTATGATAAATAATTTAGAACCTTATTTTATTCAATATAAGAGTAAAATATACTGCATAAAAGAAAATCGTCAATTAATTTTTATTATTTTCATGGAATCCCTTGAATTATGGAGCTACAAACAAAATGTTTAAGTTAAAGTGTTGTATACAGTGAACCAACTTGGAGAACAATATGAATGTTGTATACGCTGTTTGATATCACCATAGGATTCATCGTTAATATCAAATTTAGTCATCAAAATGTGAATATCACAATAACCTTGATGCAACATAAGCTACTATATCAGTAACATTGATTTCTTGCCATATTATAATAACATATGATATAATATACATAGTAAATATTCATAACGAATACACTTGTCATAACACATTTTCATAAAATATTATTAATATTATATCATAATTTTCACAAATTACAACACTATTCAAAAAAATGATACTAAATTTTAAAATATTGATTATAATAACTACCAAGAATATGCAAATGAATACATAGAATTCTAACAGAATATGATATGATTAAAGGCGCGTTAATGAAAAATTAAAGTTTTCTGCTAATATGTATTCTAAAAAATAAATATAATTTAGTTATAAAAAACATTGAACATTATTAATAATAAAATAAAAAGAAAAAAGAGCATTATTGGTATCATTGGATATTTATATGGGAAAATACATTTTCATGAAATTTGAAAAATATTATGAAATTTCTTACAAAAAATATAATATAAATCTTTTATATTAGTAATACGTATACATAATAATGTTTACATGAAAATATAGACAAATCTTATAACATCAAATGATATTAAAAAAATATTAAAATATAATATTTTAAAAGAATCCATTAACATAAGAAAGATAGGTACAATAAATTAATATTATAGCTGTATAAGTTAATGTATTTTCATATGATTTGATATGAATATTCCTATTTATTAATTATTATTAAATGAATTATTTAGATGAAGAATTTTATGATTATATATATTAATACATATATTTTTTATATTAAATCCCTTCTGCAAGATACTATATAAAATTTATAAACATTCACATTTGGATTAATAAAAAGCAACTATATTAATATACATATATTTTCTATATTTTAGTTTACTCAATAATAATATTTGTTGAAAAGAAACCAATAGTATACATAATTTATCATGCATTTAGTCAAGTATTAAATATTTGTTAGCATTTTTTCGATGTTTTACAATTAAGAGTTTAAATAAGGAATGGGCTCACTTATTTAAAAATCGCACATCAACCTAGACTGTTTATCGCAATATACAATTTTAATTGTAAAAAACATATTCATACCGCAGTAAATAAATGGATTCACTAAATTGTGATATTTAGTTTGTATATTTCAATGAATCTACTTTAATTTTTTCCCTCAATAATATATTATTATTTAAGTTTTTTGCATTTATATATATTCTTTCCCATTTATTAATATATGCATTTCTGTAATTCATTTTTATTATATGTTATTTTATAAAATAAAATATCATTTTACATAGAACATATGTATATGCTTTATATTTTGTGCTCTAAGTAATTATCACGAAGAAAAAGAAAAAACTTTTACATTTATACTTGTTTTTTTATACATGAAAAACAAGCCATTTTATAACAAATTAATTTTACTTCTAGTTACGCCTTATATATTAATAAAATTTTAATTGTAAAACATATATTAATGAAAATAATTATTTCATTATATAACAGTTATACATCCAGTGTTTAATAGAAAAAAATTAAAATATAGAAATCTACAAATAATTTTTTTTGTAATAAAAATCAAATTTATTATATATAATAATAATTATTTATTTGAAAAAATTATAATTTTTATTTATCATAATATTTAAGAATCTCTAATTTCTTAGGAAATGAGAACAAAAGTTATTATTTTCTTCTAGATAACACAAAGAATAAATACATGTTTCAAAAATATTATCTAAATTAAAATAAAATATATTTAATTCAGTTATTTAGCTATATAATAAATTTATTTCGTTTATATATATAATGCAGATTCTACTTTAAATGATGAATTTAGGATATCTATTAAATAAATATTATTTAAAAATACACAATATAACACAGATAAGATAGTAATAATAATACATTTTACATAATAATTATAGTTCACATTTATTTATTCAATGAAATAGATGTTTTAATTATTATTTTATTATACATTAAAAAAAAAATTTTTTTTAATATAGAGTGAATATAATCTTTAAATATGCAACAAAAAAAAACAATTACATAAATTTGGTTTATAATCATCGTTTTAAAATGTAATTATATCATATGTAATTGCTAATAAAAAATATAAATCACTTCGCTGTATCCTAAAATAAATTATTTATTACAACCTGGTTATACTTTTATTAAGTTAATTTAATATGTAACGAAAAAAAAAGATAAAATAACAGAATTATAAAAAGTGCATATGCATAATATATATTGATTTAGTTTTTATCTTGCATATATATATGTGGCAATCATATTATTTAAGCATTACTGTGGTATATATATATTAATTATATATATAACCTAAGAATTAATGAATATAAACCATTACCTTGGGGACTATATTATATTACATAATATAATGTGATAATACTATATTTTATATATAAATAAAGAATTTATATAAATATTGTATCTATATTAAATATTATTCACGTAAGTAAAAATAACTCATTTGATCAAACCTTTTACATATTTTATATATAAACAGAAAATTTTTTAATCCTTAAATTTTATGCATACACATTATATGAAACTATTCATTTATGTGAAAATTTTAAAACTAATTAATTTGAAATGAGTATTCTAGGTTAATGTGACAAAATATATGAAAATATATTACTTTTTATTTCATATTGAAAATAATTATTTTATTATAGTAGATTATACGTACATAAATTTTGTAAAATTAGTATTCATTTTTTAATAATTTCATATAATTATAATGTTATAAATATATTACTCAAACTAGGTGTTACATAATAAAAGTGTATAATTATTTCTAACAAAAAATATTGTCATATATTAATATAAGTTTATAACAGAATAAGAATATAAATTCTAAAAAAAATTTTAAATTTTAAAATGTTGTATAAATTAATATATGCTATCATTTTAATATGTATTCATATGTCTTTAACATAAAAAATTTTCATTATAAAATAAAGCGTCATTTTCCCTTTAATTCATATACATAAAGCACAATGGTTATCGTTACAGATGAGAACGAAAATGTATATAACTTTTTTTTCGTAAAATTTGTATTCCTCAAAATTATAATATCGTTATTTATGAGAATGAAATATAAAATGTTGTCTATGTATTTTAAATGTTTTATGCATTATAACTTCGACCTTTAGTTCGATTTTACGGGTATATTTCCATCATGCCTGCAAGATTATAAAAGTGCTGAAAGTAGCGTGGGTTATGATCTCATTAAAAGGCCTTTTCGTAATATGTGTATTCTTATTGAGACATATTTCAGAACAAAAGTTTTCGGTTTTTCAATGGCATGCGAAATTCTTAGTCACTATTTAGAAAATATAAATAATCTGTTAGTTCAAGAATATAAGAAACGGAACTGTAAATATTTCAACTACAAGCTAAAGGAGGAACTAAGTCATTATAAACTATCATGTATTCGAGAAAAGGATTGTTACACAAAAATGATAAGTATAATTTTTGGAAATACTAAGATGTCTGATGTATGTCAAATTCACATTGATGATCTTGATGATGCTATATTTTCCAATTTTCAAAACCTAAATTGGTTATATACCTACCAAGAAAAACTACAAGAAGATATGGATAAATGCCCTTCCTCTAATGAATATATTAAACGTTTTATAGAAATATCTAACTTATGTCCAGAAGGGAATAATAGTAGCTTTTGTAAAGAAGTGAAAAAATTTAAGGATGAATATATGAAAGGTGCAAAATATGAAAATGCGTGCTCTGTAGTTCCAAAAATATTATATAAATCTGATAAGAGAGATATTCGTATGGTTATTTTAATTGTATCTATTTTAACTTTCACAGTATTAATAATTATATTCGTTATATATAAAGTTAATGATAAATTTAGTTTAAAAATTCATATTTCATTATGTTTTATACTACGCATGATTTGGAAAAATTTATATCAAACATATGATATATTCATAAAATGTTATATTATTTCTTTGTTATCAGTATACCCCTTATGGCTCATATGTAAAGCCACGCATACTGAAGCTAAAGAAAATATGGAATAACAAAAATAAAGAGCAATCTATTTTAATGAACTCATTTGAAGAAACATACAAAAATATAACTGACGAAAATTATCTAATATCATATAAATCTTTAGACTACTAATAAAAATATAATGTCAAATAATAAATATAATATTGTTTCTGTAGTGTAAAAAAAATACAAATAAGAGATTGCAATATCGTAGAAAGAAAAATTAATTATTTATTTAAACGAAAATATATTAACGTAAAGCTTTAATAATATAGAGGTGTAATAATATTTTTGTTCTTTGAGACAACAAATGAAACGTGATTTTTGAAATATTTCTGTGAGAAAATATAGTTATAATTGTTGTCAAAAAATTGAATAAAAAAATATTCAATTGATACGAATCGACAATTAATATATATTAAAAATTATTCCATCCTAATATTTGTGAAACGTTATAACATCATATTATGCCTAAATAAAACATTAGCTGAAGCACCATAATTAATAAAATACTAAAAGAATATATTATAATAAGTAGATTAGTATAAAATATTAAATAATTTATTGTAAAATTAATAAAACAAATAATAAGATTAAAAAAAAAGGCTATTGAATATTCATACTTTGAGAAAAACATTTTACTTGTTGAATACATTAAAATTTAATGCACCCCAGATCTTTAAACTCTATCTTATTATAAAAATTCATTTATATATAACGAGAACGAAACAAAAAGAAAAATATTAGATTACATAATTGTATATTTATAAGGATTATACAAAGGAGACTTTAAAGAAAGATGATTAAAAGCATACATATTTTATTGACGAATGGGTGAATATATTAAATATTCATATAGTAAAAAAAATATATTAAAGCATGATAAGCATTACGTCATTATATGCTTTAATAAAAATATATTATTGGGGGTATTTATTTAAATTAAAAAACTATTATAATGTTTAATAATATTATTTAAATTATTTTATTTACAGCATACTTAATATTTAATCAATGTAGTAATATATATCACTTTCAAGGAAACAGTCCTAATACTGCACATAATATTTGTTATAATGCTTATAGTTTAAATATAATTTATGCAATTTCAATACATCCTAGTAACAGAAAATAACAAAACAAAAACTAATATTATGCATAAAAATTATTTATAATATAAATAACCTCAAGAAAAGAGAATTATCAGAATAATAATGACAACTGATATTTAAAATACAGGGGATAATTCATTAAAAGAATACATTAAATATTGCTTATATTTGATTGATGTCTTCAGGAATAATATAATACATATTTTACATTAATATATTAGTTTTTCTTGAATACACTTATTAAAGTATAAATCTATATAATGTCATAATCATATTTCATGTAAAAAGTAAATACATTTGTCTATAATAATTATATTCAGAAAATATAATAATTTTATATCATTTTAACATTTTTCATTTGAATACATTCTTTTGCTCATAAGAACTCTTTTTTTTTTAATATTTGGAGTGTTAGGTTTTTTTTAAATTTATAATAATATTAATTTGTATATACTTAACCTGCCTGTAGTTTTTATTGTATACATAATGTTTTAGTAAGCACGTACATTATATATAATACAATAATTATAATTACCTTATTTTATTTGTTTTTTTTTTATACTTTGCATTATTTTTTTCGTTTTTTCAACACTTTTCAATTTTTTTTTTTTTTTTCTACGGAATAATTTATATACATTTAAAAAAATTAGTGAATAGCCAAATAACAATTCTATAATGTTTTTTGAATTTCTTTTCGCCACAAGAAAACAACAATAATAAATAATTTCCTTAAGTTATTAAGACAAAGAATAGTTATAGGACATACATAATTTATATGATTCAGTTGAATTATATTAAAATATTTTAATTTAAGTTTCCCTTAAAACGTACAATTTTTTTTTATGGAAACAAAATTGTAAGAAAATGCAATGTACGTATACCTAATCTATTATTGTGATTCACAATGTATACAATACGAAAAGTAATAAAGCTTACATTTTTTCATTTACATATAATATATATATATCTTTCATATTTTTACTTAAGTCTTAGAATTTTGTGAAAATTTTCATTATATTATTAATATATTTAATTATTACATATAATTTACTAAATAGATAATGGAAAAATAAAATATAAATATGTAAATGTGTATTCTTTCGTGTGTTTCTTCCACATTTCTGCATGTAAATGTTCTAATATTAAAAAAAACTATTTTCTATCTTCGCAATATGGAGTATATATATATTAATATATAAAATTACTGCATATATATGTAAATAATGATTATATTTCATAGAAGTTCCAGGATCTTATTTAATTTATAAATATATATCATTGGTATATTTATGCAAATATATTTTTAATTAAATAACGCCAAATATGTAATTAATCTTGTTATATGTACTAGGAAAAACTCTAATATTTTATTATGTAAAATAGACTTGTAAAAAATATAAACGTTAGTATATATTAATCATGCATATTATCAATTGTTCCTTACGTTATAGGGTATATGCTTATATTATATAGTAAATTGAATTTTCACTAACATATTATAATATAATGAACTTATTTTAATGGATAATATTGTATATACATATTAAAAGAAATAACAAATTATCATAAACATGAAAGAGGAACTATATATTTGGAAAATATGAAATATAAAAATTTATTCTTATATGGATGTATATTATCATAATTTTTATCACTCAATACATATCATCAAATATATAATTATTTAAAACATATTTTTTAAATATTGTTTCTGTGATAAAATTATTCCTTAATAAAACAAGAATGAATATCAATTTAAACGAAAAATAACTGTGACATTTCATTACGACATAATATATATGTAGGAATTTATTTATTACTCTACCTTAAACAAATAACTACAATAAAAGAACATTTATTTTTACTTTCATTGGGTAAGCAACATATCAAATAGTACATTATTTTACAGTTACAATATTTCAATATTAAATGTAGGAAAGTAAGCTAATTAATATTCTCTTAAATTTTTCATATAAAAAGTTATTATACTCAAAATACAAGTGAAATAATATTGACATAATTGAACACGTAAAAAGATGTATATCATTTTATAATAAAGCACTGGTTTCATTTTATACATTTTATATGCACATAATGATATTCATAATATATACTACATAATACATTATAATCATCCTTCAAAAATGGTTCTTATACAAGAATCACCTTTGAAAGTTTTTAATAGGAACTGCTATATTATTATTTAATATAAATACATCATAAATGAAATTGTGGAGTTATCTATACATATTATTTATTTTTTCATTTTCCCCTATGGATACATAATAAAATAAAAAGAATCATGAAATTCTGAATTTGGTAAAATACCTTATATCATAATAATAATATTTATGAATATGCTAGATTTAATTCGAGAATTGTAAAAAGACTCCAACCTTATCATCTAGCTTGAAGATTAGTTCCATAATGTAATATATAATTTCACATAATCTAAAATGTAAACGTTTTTATATGCAAAAATCATTTGATTTATGTAGTTGTATTTAAAAAAAAATAATGAATATAAATGCCTATAAAAAAACTCTTTTAATTCTCCATAATAAATAAAAAAATATGAAAATATTTGTAAAAAAATACTTTCCCACCTAAGTTTCAAGAACTTTAATATTGTAGCATAATTATAAATCATATATTTCATTGAATATATTTAAGTAGTTATATAATTCATAAATTGTGATATACATTATCTTAAGTAAATTGGGATTTCTCTCCTATGAAGATATCAATTAATTCTTAGGATATTTTGTGATTTCTAAATATATGTCCATCCTATAATTAGTTTAATATTGATTAATGCCTTGAAAAAAATAATTTCAAGAGGAAGAAATTTAATTTCGGGTTCTATAACATAAGTCTTGAACCATATCTATAATAATCATCAAAATAGAGATATTTTATGATTTTCTCTTTTGTTATGCCTATAGATAATTCGTATTATATATGAATATATATGATGACCTCTTACATTTATAATATATATTATTACTTTACGCATGTTTTTTATGGTACATTTTATAGTTGTGTTTCAATTTTTACTAAAATATTTATATTTACATTTTTCTGATTTTAAATGTTAATTAAAAAATAGTACAATGACCATTTCATGTTTGTGGAATTTTTTACTGATCTATTTATTTATGTTTTTTTCACTCTAAATAATTATCAGAATAAAAAAAATTCACAAACATTTCTTTTTTGTTTATTCATTGGATGTGAAGTTTACATACATTATAGCTCAATTTTTCCTTATAACACCTCTCTATTAAGGTTTTTCTTGGTATTCTATTTCTTCATTAATGTAGAAATTAATGAAAAGTAAAAAATTGAAAAAAGACAAATAATTACTGATGTCAAAACATATTTTTATTAATTTTTATGTTAAAATATGAAAATAATAGTATTAAAATAAACAGAAAAAATGTTTACTATTTATTAATTTTAGGTGAAAAAAGGACTCATAATACCATAAAAGCTAATCGAAATTTCATTTGAAAAAAAATATATATGTACTAAAAATAGGTTATAGTGTATGGAAGTCTTAGAGTAATTTAATAGAGTACATAAATATACAATAAAATTAATAAAATTTACGTGTGTGTATTTTTGTATTATGCTTACAATATAGTAACACAAATTACTCATTATTTGCTTATAATTATAAATTTTAAAATAATAATGTTAACACTTTTATAATATTTTAAACAAACAAATAATTAAAAATATATTACCAAAATAAAATCAATAATTTTTGTATCTTTAACACTTAATGCAAATTTTGTTTATCATTTTTTTAAAATTCTTATCATTATATTTAATATTCAAAATAGCTATATGCCAAGTGGACCCTTCTTTCTCTTGCATTCGAAGGTCCTAATAGTATCCTTTGTAATTTTTCATTCATACCTTTTCGTTTCCTTCTTTTTTTTTTCTTAAAAAACATTCCCAAAGAAGTGTGCTGTAGATGAAAAAAAGTCCATAAAGGTATAGTTTAATTATTACAAACAATTAAAAAAAAATAATAAGAATAATCCTCATAATGGAACAAATTTTACTTTACTTTTATAAGAAATGTCAATAACAAAATAATTACCAAGGGTATTAAGGCAATAATGATATATGCTTTAAGGGATATTCCTTGATCTACTTGAATAGATTTGTCTAGTGCAATATCTTTTCCAATTGTTATTACATTTCCTGTAGAATTAGTCCTATTTGTACCATTTTGTCCTTCTGTATATTTTCCAGAACTATCACTATTATATATACCTGAATTTTCATTAGATATTACAGTATATGTATACGGTGATGTACCAGTGCTAGTTAAATTATGTTGTACGGATTTAAGCATCTCATGAAATTCATTATGAACAACTCCATTAATAGAAGTTTCTATATGAACACCATTACCGCCATCACTCTGATAAAGAAAGTCTTTTTTACCTACACTAAGGTTAGGAATACCTCTTACACCAGCAGCTTGAACATCATTATGTCCATAATGAAGGCCTTTACTACCAGAAACATCATCAAGAGTAACTGTATTACTATTATCGTTATGACTCTTCGATATATCTCTATAAATTTCATCTGCTGGATAGATTTTAGCTAAACCATCACTATCTATGTGTTCACTTTTAGAAGATGCACTATCATAACTTGTGAGACCAGATTCACCAATTTTAGCCCATACAGATATAGTACCCTCATGCGCAAGATCATCACCAGTATGTTCTACGTAGTCAAGGTCTTTTCCAAGGGTATATACATTATCATGATATACTGTAAAAATCGTGTGAGTGAAGACATCTTGAATTCTATCATTTTACTCAGTAGTATCTTAAGAATCATATACATTAAATTTAGAATGCTCATCTATATCAATTGTGTTCAATTTATTACCTGGATCAGATTTGATCGTAGAGGTTCTTTGTGAAGGAAGATCATGTGCAGTGGTATCTAATTTTGTAGATGGTGAACCATCTGATAATGATATAGATTCTTTAAAAGTTTCTATTTTTCCATGTACATTATAATGATGAGTGTCTGATAATCCATGTTGTTCATGTTGAGTTTCAAGATGATTAACATGCTCATTTTCACTTTGTTCCTCCTGAGAGACTATGGTTTGTTGTTCTGATACTTTTCCATTAACATGATTTTGCAGTTCTTGAGAATCAATACTTTTCAAATCTTTGGAATCATGGATTTCTGGGAATGATATTGAATGTGATTTAAGTTCTTCTGTCTCCTTTAATTTTTGCCTACACTCCTTACTTCCTTCATGGGATTTCTCTATTTCTGAAATTATTTCAGGAAGAGATTCACCATTAGTTTTTATATTTCTACCACATGCTAATATATCAACACATATTTTAGGAATTTTCTTTATTATTTCATATATGTAAACATTGTATAGTACATTATTTTTTTCAATACAGTTCTTTAGATGATCTTTTATATTCTTTATATATTGATATACTTCTCCACATTTGCTGGAGAGATTTTCGTAAATATTTCCATCAAATTTATTAATTATTTGTTCAAATTCATTTTTACGTTTAGAAAATTCTTCAAGGCATTTAATAAGCACATCTTCTTGGTTGTTATCAACGAATTTAACATCTACAGCCGCCATTATCTATACATTAATTTTTATTATAGGTATCTTACATTTTTCTTTGTTTAAATAAATAATTTTTTGTAAATATTATGAGCATATGAGTAGACATATTTACAAAGGGTATTTTAACATATTTATATAATAACATTAAAATATAACATTTAGATAAGTACAAATAATTATATTCATAATGTTGTAAATTAATATGTTCTAACACATTATTAATGTTATTTAAAAGTGAATATATGAACATTTGGACTAATAATAGTTGCACATGTAATTGTATATATGGGTAACTTTAAAATAAATGTATTCGCAAGGATACGTTTAAAAACATTGTGACATTCTTATAAATTAAATTAATATAAGTGGTTGTAGACTTAAATATTTGGGCTAGAAGTTAAATGATGTGAAATATACATTAGTTTATAATGTTCATTTATAATGTGTACAAAAAAAATAAAATGTTTAAAGGTTTCTTTCATTTAAGTTATACTAATAAATGAAGTAAAACTTGTTCTAAAAATAGTTATTTACATGTTTGTATATGTTCATTCTATTCTAATAGTAAGACAATACATAAATTAGATATTATCTATATTTTCCTTTAAAACTACATTTCACAGTTATAATGAAATATATTTCATACGAACATTGTTTATAATAAAAATAAGTGCAGTTGTATTTTAGTGTCAAGTCAAATTTTGAGAACACACAAATATACTTCATTATTGTTATGACATATTTTAAATTTTATAGAATTACATATAAAAACAAGAAACATATACTGTTCAAGTTTTAAGAGTTTCATATTATTATCGTTAATGTTATTTTTAATTAAAATGTGCGTTTCATACATAAAATAAATTTCAATAAATATAGGATGAGAAACAATTATTTAATGCTTCTTTTGTAAATTTTACTCAATTTTCTAGAAATATTTTCCCCTTTATAGTTACAATTAGATGTTACATGTCTGCATTTTCTTCCTTTTGTGAATCATTAATTTTAATTCATAATAGAAATGTTATAATATAAATGAAGTAAACAAAAATTTAATATAATTAATAATTCATCGAACAAATCTTTAAAATGGTCATGCAATTTACAGAAAATTAACATGTATATGCGGAAATTATTTATGACAATGACATCAAAAAAATATATAATAAATTGCACACACATCTATTATGTAAAATATATTATGCATAGAATAATAATATAGTAGAACAGTTCAAACTTGGTTATATTATTTTAACGATTTGATTGCAACATTTATATTAAATTAAAAAGGATAAAATTATTACTAAATTTTCGTAATGCAAGTAGTAACATAATCTGCCGTTTGAAACATAATAACTTATTAACTTCTTTATTATACATATGAATTTTTTATATTTTCAAAGGATAGATTTTACTGTATATATAATTTTATATGTGTAAAAATAATTACATTTTTAATTCTGCATTTTATGAAAACATCATATTATAATTTTTTTATATTACTATTTTAACGTTGCTATCTATTACACTTTTAATTTAGTGTTATTTTCACATTTTTCGTATTAATCTTTAAAATTAATGATAATGTTGAAAAGGAGCATTTAGAACTACTTATCTGAAAAAATATATTTTACAGTTTGAACAGAGCCTACGTTGTATTCTTTGTTATTAATTTAATGTATATTAATTGTTGCTTTAATCCATTGGCTTTGCTATTTCTCCACGGGTTGCATGTTAAGAATTTTATTTTTTTGTTTTCTTTATTTTCTCTATTTTTTTATAAGGGGATTCTTATGCATAAATGTCTCAAATGAAAGTTATCATTTTTTTGTGATAGGCTGTGTAAAAAAATGATAATCATTTCTGAAAAATGTTATCCTAACACTTTTCCAGCTGAGTATGGTGTATTATTAATAATTCACTATTCTGGTTTTCACATATTTTTATAACATATTCATGGTAGTAAATATATTTTTTTTGTATTTAAGCTATCGTTTTTGGACCCCTAATTCAAAACGTGAATGCTTCATTTTTATAGATGTCTATTTAATCATATTCTGCTGAGTTATTAGTGTTGTATATATGAATCTATTCCTTTTAAGATTTTATGATGTTTTTAGTTTATATAAATTTTTTATTCTTCCGGATTTGCTTTAATTTAAAGTATATAACTGAACATTTTTAATGATATGTATAAATGCTTTAAATAAAGAGTTTTAATTAGAAATTCGTTTATTTAGTATCCTACAGGATAAGAGAGAAAGATTTTTCATACATTATGCAATTCATTTAAAAGTTTAACATTCATGTCACATAGCGCACAATATAAAAAAAAGTTTTATAATTTGTACTATAGTTTTTTAAAAATACTAATTGTTTTAATGTGATTTTTCCTAAAAATTTGGAAAAAATAAAATTTTTTTTGATAAAGTTTTATGGTGATAATTCATCTTAATGAGTTATATTCCAGATATATTGGGGTAATATCTGTAAATATGTATTAAAGATGCTCATATCAATAATTAAAGTGAACTCATAGCTGTCTTTTCATTGTTGGATTAGTTATTGTAACAATATATACATAATGAATGGAGATAAATAAGTGACTAAACAAAGTAGTAATAAGATTAATATAAAAGAATAAATGCTTATATGTGTAAAGAAATTTTTAAATGGCATAATTCCCTTAAAAGATGAGTGAATTTTTTATGCTTACGAACTCTGAAGATATATAAGAATTTATTATTATTTTAAATATACTATATTTAGGACTTTTATAATTATTTGAAAACAAAATAAGTCAAATATTTGAAACAAGCAAAACCCAAGATTCTACTTGTGAAAATAGGTCAAATTAGCTTCCATTTTTTAATTCGCTTATAAGTGAAATTTTGTATCATTGCATTTTACCATTTATAATTTTGGAGGAATATAGAAATTCTTTTAAATAATCCTTTTATGTATTTTAAAAGAATAAAATGGCGCTTTTTTTTGTTTTCAAGTCATTTCTCACAGACATCTATTTTATATGTGCGTAAACAAATATTAATCTAAGAAGAATTAATTATTTCATGATAAAAATTGAATATTACAATAAAGCATTTTTTTTTTCATAAATTATTTTGTATATGCAATTGGAGGAACTATAAACCGTTACCTTTGAACCCATTAGACACTGTTTCCTGAAATCATGAACAATAAAATGTGAACATACATATTCTATATGTCTATACATAATTATATTCAATTTTTAAAAGAAATAAAAGAACATAAAAGAGCACATTATATAATAGCATTAATGATTATATGAATATATATGCCACATATTTTCTTATGTCTTATAGGTTATTTGTTGTATTAAATTATATACATAGCATTATCACAAATATGTTATTTAACAGCATTATAAAATTTCAACATCATAAATATTTTTTAAATATTTTGTAATTACATGAAAAAATGCTATGATTTTTTAGAATAAATGATACTACATTAGTTTAGTAAATATAAATAAATAAAAACATGAAAACTAAAAATTAATGAAATGTTTATAAATTACACAAATTAATAAGTATTATATAAATATGATACATATTTAATACATTTGATAAATAAATGTTCTTAATAAGACAAAATATAAACTATATGTATTATTTTAAGTAAATAGTATATAACAATGATCCCTAGTTCTGTTATAGACGATGTACGTTCAAATTTATTAACGCATGTATTATTTATATTAGATAGTTATAAAAAAACCTTATTTGTTATAATGAATCAAAGAAAAAAAAAATTCTTAAAAATATATTTCATAATTTATTTCACATATTATAATTGTCATACATAGGTTGATTATAATATGTTATTTCCAAGAATTTGGGATGATTATTCACGTTCCGTGAAAATTCATCATCTTAAAGTCCACGGACTCAGTGAATTGGCATTTGCATGCGAACAATTTGGTAAAGATGTAGCAAAACCAACCTCTAGACCCTCTAATTTTATTTTTCCTTGTACAAATCTTGGTCTCTATTTGAATTATATTAAACATAAAACTTATGAAGATCGAAGGAGAAGTTGTAAATATTTCAGTTATATGTTAAAGCGCGAAATAATGGACAAAAATCCCAAATGTATAGGGTTAAATGTATGCTACAATAAAATGATAGATATATTCAAACAAATTAAATATCGTAGAATGGATCTTAATGTATGTAGAGATCAAGTTGAAGAACTTAAAAATGATTCATATTATATATTATATAACCTAGATGAGCTATATAAAAAATTTTATAAATTAAAAGAATATAATAATGAAAATCATTATACTTGGGCTGGTAGTTATGTTCCTTCTTGTGAAAAATATTATAAAATTATTTTAGAAAAGTATGAAGAGAATAAGAACAGTAGCCTTAAAACTCTATTGGATAAATACAAAAAGGAATTTGATGAAAATATGACAAAATTAAATGCATATAAAAGTGCTTACAAAAGCAGACATGAATATCCAACGACAAATAAAAGCATAAAAACGAGGACAGACAGAAGTATAGGTGCAAAAACAGATGTAGGTATAAACACAGGGATGGGTTCCTTCATGACTTTTTTTGTATTTATTATAATAGTAATTATATTCATTTTTTATAAGGTTGAAAATGATTATAATTCTTGAATGCATATAGTACTATAATTTAAATTAGGCATTTTCTTCAAAAATATATATCAAAATACATGATCTATTTATAAAAATAACATATTCATTGTTTATTATCAGTATACAAATTATGGATCATATTTACATCCAAGTGTAAAGAAGATAAGGAAAATGATGAATAAAAAGAATAAAGAAAATATTAACATAAAGGATTCATTCGAAAGGAGACAAAAAAACTCATTTGGTAATATATACCATGTAGTATATACCTCTGTAGATCATTAATAAATGTATAATATGTATTCATGAATTTGCATTAATCTGCTTCATGTAATAATATAAAATTATAAGAATATAATTTTTTATCATAAATTAAAAAAATAATATCATTATAAATATCATAAGCTAATTGTGAAATTTTAAGAAATAAAACTCATATTTCTGTAATTTAGGTTAATAAATATAATATATATGTGAAATTATTTTATGTGTATTCATTATTGTTATTATGAACGAATTCAAGCAATTAAAAACCTAAATAAATATTGATCACTATTATATACTAAAAATAAATAGTGATTATAATGTAGAATACAATAGTAATTCTTATGAAACAATCTTTTTCACATAAAATAATTGTTTCTTTTACAGAATTAATAAATGACCTAAAATTACATATTAAATAAATAATATAATGAATTGGATTAAACATAAGATTTAATACAATAAAACATAATAAAAAAAAAAACACTCATATTAATTTATGTATATCTGAAAGTTTTATATTCTATATTATAATAATGAACAATGAAAATGATATGGAAATGTAAACAAAATAAATATGACAGATTAGTTATATTATACCATCAAGTATATTAAATAGTAATTGCAATAGCATTATATGATTATATTAAATAATGAAAGACATAATAATATATTATCATTATTTTTTTATTAAGTCTATATTGTTACTATAAGATTTAGTAATATTTTTTTATAATTGTTACATTCATAACACAATGCATATTTATTAAGCGTATAGTTTATAAAAAATATAGCAAAATAATTTTAATGGTACGTTTAATTTTTGCTGCATTATTTCTAATGAAAATATGCCTTATAATTTAGAGTCAATGAATCAAATAATATATGTAAAATTATATATTAATGTGATACGTAAATTGTGACTTTATCACAAATTAATTAGTCAGTGTTAAGGGATTAGAAAATAAACTAAAACAAACTCTACTATAACGGTCTTTATAATTACATGACTAAATATATTACTTAATATGATCCTTTTTTTTTATGCATAAAAAGTTAAATTTCTTATATTTATTCTTTTTTTTTTCTTGATATATTTTATTAAGGTAACAATTTCTCGAAGATAACAATATATATATAATTATATTCAATTAAACAGATAAATATAAACAATTAGTATTAATTTTATATCATTATAATATTTAATAATGAATATTATATTTTACTTTATAAATACATTATAAAGAGTTTTACACTTTTGCAGCTGAAATTAATTTTAGATATATTTTCTATATGCAGATATTTATTTTGTAAATTACTCAAAATGCTCTAATAATTGTAAATATTTTATACTATATAGAATGATTAGAATTTTAGCATATAATTCATTGGTTTATGTGTTCCATGATTTTTCATTTCTATATAGTTTTAACATATTTTGTGTTATTTGTTTTTTTTTGATTCATATATATGCATATATATTATTAAATGAAAAATCCATATATTTATAATATTGCAAACAAGTATTATCTACAGTGAAAAATATTTAGTTATTGGAATTTATTAAAATTTATTATAGACAGCCATATAACCATGCAATATATATAATGTAAGTTTTATAGTTGAAATATATTCAATAATTTTTACCCATTTTTTACTTAATACTTGACACTTTTTATCATGGAGTTTCAATTATTTTAACAATGTATATATATATGACATATTTATAATTTACGATTGTTGTAATATAAAAATTAATAAAAATCACATTCTTTAATTTATGCTGAACGAAAATATATTTGTTCTATTTTCACATGTTCATGTAAAATTTATGCAATTTTGTTTGAATCCATATATATCATGCATCATAATATATAAATTAATGAACAATTTTTAAAACGATTAAATATATTTTCTATTTAATATGCATGTTGACTATAGTGAATTACTTGTATAAAAATAATGATAATTTTTTGAGAAATGTAAATATAGGAAAAATATAATAAAAATATTAATAACAGAATTTCTCAAAAGAGAATTATGGTATAAAAATAATTATTTTGTATTCATAAAATATATATATGCACAAAATTTCGTAAATATAAAACATAGGTAGATAATAGAAATGCAATATTTAATAAAATTTTTAGGAAAAATACAATAAATTATGAATTCTATAAATCCGTTAATAATTATCAAACACTATAAAAAAAATTATAATGTATTTTAATGTAACTTAAAATAATTAATCTCCGTAAAAAGTATAAATAAATACGCTATAAAATAAAATATATAATTTCTGATATATATCATTAACATTTCATTAAACATTATTAACAAGTGACTTCATAATAGTAAAATAATAGATATATGACAATATGATAACCGTAATGTGTAATATTCGATTTTAATAATTATATAAATTTATAATTCTGAGTATGTAAGTTTATCTATATTGCTTTAAAATATATATTTTTCACAGAATAAGTCTATCAATAACATATATAAGATTAATTAGTAGTGCGTTAAAAACTGATATTAAATATTATATAATGATAAATCATTGATATATACCTGAGTATTTTATTTATATTTAATTCTTATAAATAAATGGAGTCCATTTTATTAAGCTTCTTGATTTTTTATATAAAAACATCGAAATGACAAATGTTCTAAAGGATAAACATAATTCCCTTAAATGTGCTTTACATTTGTTATATTTAGTATCAAAAAGGTACAATAAATAAATGAAAAAAAGTAATTATATATATATTAATAAAAAAAATTTATGCTTTATATATATTTTTTCTCTTTTTAAGTGATTCATTCAAAATATATATGTTTTTCTTATATATATAACTTTAAAATTTTAATAGTAATTATCATTTTTTCTTTTTTGCATATAATGTATTTATGAGTCTTTTTACTAATTGTAACAGTTAAAAAGTATAAAATATAACTAATATTATTGCTACTATATTTTAAACTGTATAAAATATAATCGTCATCTGAATCCATGGTATTTTTACATCAATTTTGTAATTGTAACAAAGATGAATATAATACTTCTTTATATTATATTTCATTCTTCTTAATATATAACCTTTATATGATCATAAATAACGATAGTTTAGTTTGTTCACTTGATAAATTATATAATATCATCTAAAGCGGGGAAATCATTTATACCTTTGAATTATTATAATATAAATTACATAATTATAATATATTTGCATTCATTTTCGCATTAATATTATAGAATTATTTTATCATAATATAATTTTATTTTTATAACTTCCCTTTTCCTTTTATTATGAGCTTTACAGTTATTTATAGAATGTAACAGTTGTATAGAAATACACAAAATGTCAAGAATAACGGATTTGAAGATACTTTCCAAGAAATTAATTAGAATAATTTATTTAGCCAACATTTCAATGATTATAAAAAATGCCATCAGGTTATTTCATATTTAAATGGTATAGAAACTATTCATGATAACACATTAAAAGAAGTGTGTTACAAATATTTGTATTACCATATATATCGTGATCTTTTTAATAAACAATATAATGAAAACATTAAAAAAAATATATTATAAATTGATTGATGTATGTAAAAGCAATATGAGCTTCTATGCATGTAAATATTTTAGAAAATGCAATTATTGAAGATAAATTAACTAACATCAAACATATGTATGATTTATAATTATGATTCAAAACATAAATAAAGAAGAATATACTTCTTGTAATTAAAATAATTTCTTGTGTTAACAAGAATATGCTCATATGCATACCCAAAAAATGGATTTTTGTTTATTCAAACATATCATCAATTTTTGTAATGCATTATTAAATATTAGAAATGAAACTCAAGCACTAATTATACTTCATAAATGTCTAATTATTATACCGGGAATTTCACATTACTTACAAAAATATAGCAAAGGAGTTGCTATGATAATTCCAAGTGTTGTATTTTTATTTATATCCTTTTTTATATTTATTGTTTTAAATAATAAATATAGTATTATTTATGTTTATGCTATAAAATATTTTTTTTAAATTTAATAAAGCAATATTTATTATAAAAAAGTTATATTCTTAATACATTATTTTTATTTTATAAATTAGTTCATCATTTATCTTTCATGATATCAACATTCAATGAAAATGAATGAACAGATAAACGCAGATAGGAAATGGAATACATTGAAACTATCTGAGATATACAACAATGTTCCAATGAATAAGGTATATATTATATTAAATATCCCTTGCTAATATTACAATTAAAAATACATATGTATTATTTAATTTATTAAAAGAACATAAAAATTGTAATCATTTAATATTGAAAAAGCAACACTTAATATTTTATATAAAAATTAAGAAAATAAGTAATACAATAATAAAAATATATATATATTAATTTGTCAACTTAACATTCTTATGTTTCAATATAAATTCAATAATAATTTACAATGTTTTACTAATTTCCTTATAGAAAAATATTTAAAATAATATGAATAGATTTACTTCTTGTCTTGTTTTAATATATTAAATTTTCACATGTGTAATATTTTTAATATATAAATCATTATATTTTAATTAAAATTAAAATAGAATATAAAGGCTAATATAATTATTCATATAAAAATTTAATATTGTTTAAATAATTGAATAGTCTAGGTATAAATTAATTCTACATGTACTACACTATTTCTTCAAGTTATAATCTTGGAAATAAAATTTTCAATTATTAAATATATATATTAGTTATATTTTATGAATTATAGTTCCTTTTAGATTTTTTATAATATATGTTATCCGTGACCTTCTCAAGTATCCACATTTTTATGACATAAATATGAGTATTCTTGATGCTTGTAGAATTATATGTATTGAGGTAGATAAAAATTATAGAATATTTCTTATTTATTACATTTCAGTGGGATCAATTTGTCCATCAGCTTTAATCAATAATTTTTTTTTTTTCGCGTTCAGTTTAACACTAAAACTTTTAGTTATATTTTCAATAGAACGGTAAATTACTCTTAAAACTAATGAACAGTAAAAAAAAAAGTATAAATTTTTTTACTTTATATGATGCAGCTATATTATTTTATATATATCAAAGGGGTAAGCCGAATTACTTTTGCATTATTCTATATTTTATTAGAATTTTATATTATTTATACATAATTCTAAAATAATGAAAAAAATAAAGAATCACATTATATGTTTAATCTCCATATTATGAATATTATATTATATATAAAATTCTTAATATCATTTGTATTTCAAATGAAAATATAGAATAACTAAAATTTATATATTTATAACATAATTATAAATATAGCTAACAATTAGTAAATAGACATGGCAGTTTTTTAAGGAAACATATAGGAATAAAAAATATATATATTCTATATAAATGAAATAAAAAATTAAATCAATTCTTATGTAGAGTGAAATAACATTTTAACTAGGTAAATTGTTCTTTTTATTTTTACATTCTCATATATTTACATTCGTTAAAAACATTCTCATAATTATTATATTTAATTTAATGTCATTTATATAAATATAAAAAAAAAAAATCCTTGATCAAGTATTTCAGTAGAAATAAATACATATAAAATTACTTTATTATTTCATTATATATATATAATCAAATAAAAAATGAATAGGTACACAAACCATATTTGTGATATTATTATTATGAATCATTAAAGTAGTTGCTTTCTCAATATATTATATATTACAAATTTTAACATAGGATATAAAATTGCACTAATGTTATATTTTAAAATGTACATATAGAATTTAAGCATTCAAATGCCACAATTATTATTAATTCTTGCAATTAAATTATTATCTTGTATTTTATATAATTTCTGAACTTCAAGAAATGTAGGTAATAAAATAATATACCCATGATTACAGCCATAATCATAGAATGTATATTATTTTACTTTGGAATGAAATTTACAATTTTTACATTCTCTTTTCTAAACATTTTCCCTTTTTTCTATTTTGATTCTAACACTTGTATTTAAAATTATTCAAAAGAGCACAAATAATTTTCAATGAAATAATAATATTTAATACTGATTAGACATAAAACACAGTTAACTATACGTACATGATCTCATTTTTCAAAAATGTTAATTATATATTTTCTAAGAAAAAATAATAGGTTTCTCGCAATTTTGTAATATATATTCATCAGTCTAAAAAATTATGTATACTAATATTCCAATTAATATTATAAAAAAAATGAAAATATAAATTAAAACATAATTCATTATTGAAATTGTTTAAACAATATTATCATTATTAATGTAAAATGTAATATACACATATTGTCGCCATACAACATGAGACATAATTATTAATTATAAACATATATAATATACATATATATTTTAATAAAAAATTAAAGTCAAATATGAAATAAAAAATATATTGTATTATATAAGATAATATACTATAAAATAACAATAATTAATTTTAGATAATTATATTTTTATAAACTCTAATAGATTATATATTATATGTATAATTTTATTTAACTCTTGATGCTCTTGTTAGATAGTATTTTGCAAATATAACTTTAATAAAAGCTTCCACTTAAAAAAATATATATAAATTAAAGTATAATTTAAATTTAAATAATAAAAAATTAATAAAATATAATAATTTATTATTCTCTTAAATTACTTTTTTATTTATAGGAACTATTAAATAATTATAAGCTAACATTTCTTAAGAAAAAAAATTATAAAGTATAAAAAACATTATTATACCAGAAAAGTAATATATGAAAGATAATGCATTTATTTATATTTAATTTACATTTTTTATGAATTATTATTATGCATCTATTCTACTGAAATGCATTTTTTTCATTCAATAAATCTTTGAATAACACATAATTATATTAGGCTGATGTATATATATATTTATAACGTGCGATTACATTGTGTCATATGTACATATTAAATTTTGTATAATTTTAAATAATTCATGAATATATGTAATATTATTAAAAAAATATAACGTATGCATCATAAAACAATGAAAAATAATAAGTAAAAATAAACCTACATGAGATATAAAAAAACAATATCTAAATAATGCACTCTAAAAGAAAATGTTATAATTATAACTCTAATAATTAATATCTAAAATATGAAAATTGTGTTTTATATGATTACATATTTATAAACGTATATTTCCATAATATGTGTTTATATGAAAAAAATAGGATTATTTCCAGCAATGAACATTACTACAGTTTAATATGTAAGAAGCATTTAGTAAAAATTAAAACTAAAAAAAAAATTGATTGAGATTTTTAAATTATAAAAATTACTATATAGTGTTAATGTAGATTATATTCTAATATTTTTAACATATAAATGTTTATAATAAAAAAATTAAAATTTGTTTTAGCATTTATACACACATATTAAACATAATGGCTACCATTGTAGATGTTGATAAAAATGTATGTTTCTATTTGTATTAAAATTATAATTTATTCTGTTTAATTTTAATATTTCCTTATATGAAAAAATCACATAAAAAGTATTTTCCTAAAATTATTATTTTAAATTCTTATATATTTTATTACTTTCCTTTTTAGTACACATTTAATGATATATTTCCTACTTGCATGAAGGTGTTTGATAATCTTGATGGAATGGAAAAAAGGGAATTACGAATTTCATACCATAATCTTTGCTTGAATATAAGTGATGAAGTAGTGAAAACGAGATATTTTTATACCTTCTGTTTAAATTTATGTGTCTATTTAGATAATATAGAAAGTGAAAATCTTGATAAAAAAACACATTGTAAATATTTTAATTACAAGCTAAAATATGCACTAGAGGGATTAAGTCCTCATTGTAAAAACGAACAAAAATGTTATGAAGACATGTATCAAGTAAGCATCGGTGATAATAAAAAGGTATCTGAAGTATGTAAAGGGGATATTTTAGAGCTTAAAGAAGGTACCTTTAAAATAATGGATATACTAAATGCACTATATACATCTTTTGAGTACTTAAAAACAAGTAGTCGTTACGATTTAGATCAAAGTATGTGTCTGCATGCTGACGAATACTCTGCTAAATATAAGAATCTTTTACAAATAAGTAGCGAAATAAATAACGATAGCCTTAAAGAATTACTAGAAAATTTCAATAAAGAATATATCACCCTTCAGGAAAAATTCATTAATTGTCATGCACATTCTAAATCCATACATAATTCCTCTTGGAAAATTGCAGTAGGTCTTATTTTAACAATTACATTATTAATAATAGCATTCATTCTTTATAAGGTTAGTAATGAATTAAATTTATGGAACATATATTTTATTATAATATATAATAAAAAATATTAGGGAATTTAAATGTCAAATAGAAAAAATATTCATAAAAATATGATATTGCTTATTTATTTTCAGTATACTCATTATGTTTCACTTTTACAACCACTTGTAAGGAAGCTAAGGAGTATATGGAACAATAGAAATGAAGAAGAACCTAAATTATATAATTTGATGAAAAGAGAACATAAAAATATAAATGATAAAAATTATCAAATATTATATAATTCAGTGAATTAATAATAAGGATATTTTTATAGTTGTATAATTTAAAATTATTTTTATATATATAAAATATATTATAATACGGAACTTTTGTACTAAAATAATATATATATATATAGCCAATGGAATATATGTTTAAATAAAATATAAAATTATAAAAAATATATCCAAAGATTTTTTCATTTATGATAAGAAATTAATAATCAATTTATAAATGTATCCAGAGAATGAATAATAGTGATAATAGTTATTGTTAAAAAAAAAAGATATTTCTAATCTCTAAATATGTATTGGTAATTATATATGTTAAAAATAAATGAGTAAAAATGAGATAATTAAATTTAATAAAATAACAGTGTTCATAAAATAACATTTATGAATTATAAAAACGTGTATATAACTCTAATTATAAAAAAAGAGAGATTATATATTTAATAAGAAAATATAATACATGCAAAACGAGATAATATTTAATAATATGTGACCTTGTGCAAAATATAAGGTAAAAAACGTTTCCAAATTTTTATAATTAATTTTCCAGTTACATATCTTATATGATGGTTGAATTAAATTAAAAGAATCGTAGATCATTCTAAATTAACTTTAATATGTTATAAATTCTATTATATATATAATAAAAATACTGGTATTGGATAATTATTACTATATCATATACTACTAAATTCTATAATTAGAAAACTTCTAAGTTACGCAAAATGAAGTGTATCTATAGAACAAATTCACTAAATAAGCATATAAATTTTTCCATTAAATATAATTATGATATTGTATAAATTAATAAAAAATATTATTGAAATAACATTTTTAAATAAAATAATTATTACTCTTTAAATATAATTATTTTTATTATATTATTTTATTAGATTACTCCTCTGGGTACTTGGATTTGTGCTAAAAGATAAAAGAAAAAATTTTCACAAAAAAATGCATATATCAATGGGGGAGATTCGTTATTTTTAAGTATTCATAATCGATATAATATGATATACAAATCTTTCGTTAATGATTATATAAATAATATTTGAATTAAACGAATAAATAATAAACATAAAATAATAAAGAAATTTTTATATAATAATCTTATACAAAATTTACTAGATCAAGACATATACATATATAATATAAAGGTTAATATAATAAATTTTTATTATGATAAGTGCTTGTCCTTTTCGATATATTTAAGAAACTGAATTGAAAATTTTATAAAATTACCAAAATATATTTTTACATATATATAGCATTAAGCCATGTAAATATATAAATTGGAAAAAAAACACATGAATATACAATATATTATGCAGAAAGCATATTAATCGTATATACATATATATACACAAATATGTAATTCTATAAAATGTTAATAATTTTACAAAAATTTGTATGTATTAATCTCAATAAAAAATATATATTATTTAACATTACATATGTGTGCACTAATATATAAATGAGTATGCTATATATAATATATTTTAGTTTTAATATGTACCTTTTTTATAAAATATTATCATGACTTAAATAATTCAACATTTATTTTTTTGAAATATTATTATAATAGTTTCTGTTGTTAATAAGTACCCATATTTGTTCTACATTATTTTACATTTTAATAGCAGTTATAATAAGTCATGTCATATTTGTTATATTGTTATTTTACCATAAAATATATTAAACACTTTATGTAAAATCCTCCCCTCTTTAAAAAAAAAGATAATATCCTTCCTCAATATAAACAGTTAATATTCAATTTAATCACATTATAAATATGTAATCCATGTAAATTGTTGTTTTATTTATTATATTTTTTATTATTAATTTTAATAATATTACATAAAGTTATTCTACATTTAAATTTATGCTCTCTAAAATTATTCAACATACCCAAGGTTACTATTTATAATTTTAAAATGATTATACGAATTAAATAGGGAAAATATAAACTTTTTTAGTAAATGTGAAAATAAATAACATATCAAAAGTAGAAAGCATTTTACAAGAAGGAATATCCAAATATCCTTTAACTTTCTCTCCTTATGTCAGATCATATATAAAAAATTTTATATAATAATGAGAGAAAAAAATTAAATAAAAAAGCATAAAAGGTAATTTACATTTGAATAATCCATCATGAAAAAAAAATATATGAATACATTATATTCTAATATTAATTATTCTTAATATTATGTAATTATTTTATTAACTTTTTATATTACTTCTAGCAATAAGTTATATAACACTAGAAATGTGAAAAATACATATCCATAATATAAATAATTAAGAATTTTTTTTATATATTACATTTATATATATATAAGGAAATGCTACTCTATCAATTCTAATGTCATGGACATTGATCATATAATAATTTAATTATTATGTATATATATGAATTTATAATATTGAATTAAATTTCATGTTAAACATATATAAAAATTAATAATATTTAATAATTCATAACTTTTATTTTAAAGACATATATATAATTTATCTAAATTAAATTGGTTCATTTTAGTAAGCTCACAACTACTTTTATATAAGGAAATTACTAAGAAGTAAAGTTATTTATTCTAATATTTAGTGGTTTTCACCTTAAATTGTGTATGTTATTAAAATAAAATCACAATTAAAAATAAAAAAATATATTTATATATATAGTTATATTAACAATAAATGATAGTGTTATATCGTATTTTTTTATCTGAAATATAAATAAAATTATATAATTCATTTCAACAACATAAATTTCGTATTATACATAAACAATTAATATAATATTCTTGCATGAATAACATATATATTTTTTAAAATAATTAAGAGTATACATTTTATATCTAGAAAAAACATTATTATTTATTAAACTGTACAAAAATTAATGATCATGCAAATAGATACAATTTTCGCATATGTTGTATAATTACATATAAGAGATAAATATAATACTTCTTCAAACATTTTTTATTAACTTTTAATAACATCTACATTCTATTACATAAAATTCTTTATTTCGTTCAGTTCTAACAAAAAAATATTGTAATCTTTCCGAGATGACGGTATAAGTTGTTCTCCTGAATTGTTATAATATGAATTGCAAAATTAAAATACTCTCATATTCTATATATATTATAAATATTAGTTTAAATGAATACATTTTCCACCCTAATATATTTTTATGGATCTTTCTAGTATAGTTTTGTAAAATTATTTCATAAATGTAAAAAAATATAGATTTGTATCAAAATGTTAACAGCAGTGGATTTAAGGAAAATTGTGAAAAAATTCATGAAACCATTAAAAAAATTACTAATTCCTGTGATGATAAAATGTGCCACCAATCCATGTCATATTTAAATGATATACATATTAAAGACAAACATAACGTAACTTGGGAATCTGCTTGTAAATATATGTATTATTGGATATATAATTACCTCCTTAATAATCAATATACTGAAAATATAACAAAAATATATAATGGATTTATAAACACATATAAAAGTATATTTCAAGTAGATATATATGTAAATTATGAAGAAACATCTATTACTGAAGAAGAATTAAATAAACTTACAGCCATATATAATATATATACATATCTAAATAAAGTACAAGGCAATGATGGATCATACACAGATAACAAATTCTTCGATACATTGCAAAATATTATAAATGAACATAATCCAGACACAATTAATCAATTTACTGAAGAACTTAGACCACATGAATCATCCCCTTGTAAAATGAATAACTTAGTCTATATTATAATTACAATATTGTAATGTCATTAACAACCATCTTTTTTTTTATAATATATAAGGTAAATCATAATATTATTTACATATGTTTATAGAATAAAATAATTATTATAAATAATTTAAATACCAATAATTTTATTAAAAAATAATATTTTTAATGCATAAGCTCCTTTTATTGCGATTTAGTTTACCCCATATATTTCATGGTTGCACCGTAAAATAATAAAAAAAGGAAACCAATATAATAATATAGGTGAAGAAAAGAATATATTTCATCCTTTTGAAATATCATGGGATAACTCAAGAATTAGTAAGTATAATATATTATATCCAAACTAATTTTACCATAAAAATGTATAGCTTTAAGGAATTATCCTGCTTAAATAATATATTACATATTCTTTTAAAAATGTATATATAATATTTTCCCTGATAACTACATATAAGAATTAAACAATTTTTATAATAAAATAAAACAAAAATAAATATTAGTTTGTGAATGTATTACGATTGTATCACAAAATAAATAATTAAAATGGTACAAAATATTATTTTATAAGATTGTAATTAATTAATAAAAAACTTATGTATATATTCCTGGTTCATCTTTTTTTATAATACTACATGTTGTATAAGTAATTTTTAAAAAATAAATATGTATATTTTAAAGCAAAAAACAATATATTTCATAGGCTAATATATTAAAAAATGTATGATTCATAAATTAATCTAATAATTGTCTCTCCTCATAAAACTTATTCCATTAAATGTCATCCTATTTATATATAATATTAGTGAAAACAGCATTTACAAATATAAATAACCATTAATATTTTACTTTAAATTATAACTACTACATTTCTTATATTATTTTGTTATCCTAAGAAAGTTATGTTTTCCTATATTTATGATATAATATTTGATATTTTAGTGCATTCAAGACTTATTAATGCATGTTAAAACACGAATTATAATATTTCATTTTGTTAATTCCTTAACTAGCAATATTAGTAAATGATGAAAATTATTGAGGTGTTCATTAAATACGAGTTAAAGAAAAAAAATGAATCTTGATAAACATACAATTTTTTTTTGTGGAAAATTATCAATAATTTCGTAAATACACATATATTAATAATTTTATAACAAATAAAATAATATACATTCCATGTACTAATGTATATAATTAAAAAGAGCAAAAAATCATACATATATCAAAAGACGTCAAAGTAAATTTAAAATAAAACGAATAAATAAGAGTAATATAATTATGTAAAAATTACTAATATTTTAACATAATAATAACAAAAATAGCTTCTGATAGTATTCGTTTTATCTTTATTTGAGTTCATATAATATCTTCTTTTATAAAAGCACTTTTCTCTCTATTTTAGTGTATGTCCGTAAATTTATCAATGTCCTCTAGAATGTTAACCACAAAGATCTTATGCAGGAGTATATGATATACGTGTCCTTTTGTTTTTAGAGCTATAATACATATATTCAGGTGTATACTCTGGCATTCTCTTATTTTCATTATAATAAAAATTAGCCTTAGAATTTTTTTTCTTTAATACTATCTTGTCAAACCATCTTCCAAAGCCAGTAAACTGAGAAAAAAAAATTTTTTTAAACATTTATTATTACTAAATTATTAAAAAAATATAAATAATTGAAACGTAACTACATGTATAATATATTTATACTTTTTAAAAAAATTAATATCTACCTTATAATATATAAAAAATATGAATATGGTTCCAATTACAATAGTAACAACAATACATACACGGAAAATGAAAATTTTAAATATAGAATAATTTTGTTCTAAAACGTTAGGAGTTATTATAAGTGTACTTTCTGAAATACCTTCTGTTTCATTACTTCCCTGAAATGACGTGTTATTTCTTGTATCATGATGATTCTCTGTTTTTACCTCTTCTTTTATTTCAGATAAAAATGATTTTTTTAAATTTTCGCAGAAATCTTGATTCACAGAATCACACTTAAAATTATTTAAATTGATTGTTGCTTTTATTTCCTTTGATGTATGCACTGGTTGATGTGTCAAATCAAAAGGTTTATTATTTTCAGTTTTTGTGTGATTTTGAATATCCCCTTTTTCTTTTAGTACTGATATGTATTCACAAAGCTGTTGCCTAAGTTTATCAGAAGAGTTAGCCGGGCATTCCAAGATACTTTCATTTATCATCCATCTTATATCTATATTTGAAGGTTTAGAAGATGAAGATGTTGATTCTTCAAATTCACCATCCCGTTGAAATGAATCTCGTTCTCCCGTATATATATGATCTCTTTTATCCTGATTTTGAATGTCACTTTTAGGAATACATGTATAAGCAGAATGCTCATTCTTTGGATTTTTATTATTTTTAACACAAGAACTATATTTGATTTTTTCTATAGCTTTCGATATATAACCCACAGATAAATCTATAGGTTGATTGATTTTAGCTTGATTTCCTTTTTTAGTATCCTTATAATCAGTTCGTAATACAAAGCATGATAAAAATGGAACACCTTTTTCACTTTTTATTTCCTTACAACTAAAGTAAAATGGTTTTATTTCTTCGAAATTTATGTTTCCAGAATTCTCCCCCTTAGAACCTTTTTCCGATGAAACTGGACCCTTTGGTTTACAATCGGATGAAGTGTTGTCATTATTTATTTTACATAAAAGATTATTAGGATCGTATCTTTCGTCGCACGTAAAATAATGAGCACAATAATCATTCAAACCATAATAAGTACAACAATAACTATTCTTATGTTTCTTATATATTTGATCAATATATGAAAGATATATGATATAATTGTCTTTTTCAACAATATGAGGTGTAATCTTATTATAAATAATGTAGTAATACTTAAAGTATTCATACAAATATTTCTCTTCATTTAATTGCTTCAAGTATTCTAAATCGTTACCATGAAAATGATAAAAGCATCGGTAATTTTTTAGTTTTTCAGAAATATATTTTTGTAACTCAAGAAAATAATTGATAACATGTGTAATTTCATTATTTTCTGAATTCACTAAATTCAATATTCTACTGTATATCCAGTGTTTGTAGTGTAAACAGCTATCTCTGAGATTTGATGTATTGGATGATTCATGTAATTTTTCTAAATTTTTTGCAATTTTTACACAATAATTTCCATTACTTTCATCATTTAATTTGTATAATTTTTTAAAATCATTACAGTAGTTAGTGTATTTAGTGGAACTATCTACTGCATCAAATTCATTGTATATGTTATAAGATTCCGTGTTTCCTAAAACTATTTTCTATAAATTTAAGAGAAAAAATAAAATATGTCTATATTCATAATGAATGAATAAATTTTTATTTTACATAAATAGTTATAAAACGTAACAATTTCACTTTACTAAGCTTTTCTAAAGTAAAATATGAAAATCATACATATGCTTCTTCACTCAAAGATCCCATTATATAAAGGAAAGTAAATAAGCATAATGACAGATAATGAAAAAATATAGTAACTTCTTCATAAGAGTCAGCACATATACAATATAATTTCCTTGAGGAAATATAAATTTATTAGAGTCACATATTTTTTAAATTATAATAAATTTTCATTGAAACATCATATTAAACTCTATTAAATAGAACATTTTACCTGAATTTAGAAAAGAATAATAATGTAATATATAATAATATATTATAAGTTGCTATTATAGGGAAGATTAATTTTCAGTAAACTTTTAATTTATAACTTATACTGTATAATGTAATTAAATATTAAACAGAAAAACTTTTTTTCTTTTTTATGTCTGTGGATTACTTACAGATATCATAAATTTCGTTATATTTATTCATAATAATATATTAACTTATTGAAATAAATTATTATGATTTGTATATATTTTAGCTACAATTGACACATAATAATTAAGAATGACATAATGTTACATAAAGTGTAATATGTATTTGTGGTGAAATACAATTTAGTATTAAAATTGTATATATATGTTTTTTTTTATACTTATGTATGTATATGTATATATACATTAAACATAGACTTATGATGTAATAAAAACTTTTTTCAAATTATTGAGTAATACAATTGACGCACATATAAATGTAATATATAAAATATCTTTATAAATTATATACTATGTCTTTGCAATTCTTGTATTTCTATAGTGTTATTAAGCATATTGTTTAATAATAAAAAAAATTCATAAAATAACCTTATATTCATAAAATGCTGTTTTTTAAATATAATTAATTATTGTAAATTTTTTTATTTCGTATTATTGGAGAATAAATTACCTTAGGTGTGTTTAGTTATGTTTTTGTGTTTTTTTTTTGTTTTTTTGCACAATTTCTATTAAAATTATATTTTTCCCATATAAAAAATCATTTTTTTATGTACAAAATAAAAAAATAATAACAATATTTATTCAATTGTATATATAAAATATAATATATATATATTAAAATTTTTATTTACATTTTTTCTGACTGAATAATTTATAATATTTTGATAATGCTTATTTCTTATTTTGTTTGAACTGTTTATCAAAATCTCATTGGTATGAAATAGGTATATATCTAAAAAAAAAATATATTATACAGATAAAAAATAGTAATTTACTTCGAAACCTACATTATTTTTATGAAAATAATATTTCTCAAAGAATAAATCATCTATAATAAATTTTCAAATAGTTTAATAAAAAAATTACTATTTTAAAACTGTATGAACTGTAACTTATCTGTTATTATGTAAATTTTACACTAATTGTAAAATATAGTTCACTCTCTAAGTTTAATATTTTGTTGTGTAGTAAATAATCCATATGTACACTCAATTTTATGTGTTGAATATGTTCGTTTCTTTTTCCTTTCAAAAGATTGAGTTCATTATAATTATTACATATTTCGATGTAGATATTTTTTATATTTATATGGTAGATTATGCATTTATTAAGATAAGTAGTTGTTATGTCTTCTAATTAATTTGTTACAAAGTAAATTTCATGTTATATATAAAACGAGTAAATATATATATATATATATAGGAAACATTTTTTTCCTTATAATAAATAATTAAAATATGAAATATACTTCATTCACGTACATGTTATGTAAAATGTTATTCTATGTCGAGAATTAATACTCAAAGGATATAAAATATATATGAACTCAATAAATAAGAAGTATTATGTAGATAAATATGGAATAATAAAGCCAAATCCATTTGTGCTGTATAATACTCATACATATATATTCCTCTTCCCCAGTATTTAAATGAATTCATTAAATAATGGCAAAGTGACTGTTCTATAAGTGAGAAATATGTAGATTATGGAGAATATTACTAAATAGAAAAAAATATATATCATATTGTTGAAACAATCATGAGTAATCGATTAAAATTTTTATGATCTAAAAGAAAAATTAAACGAAATGTATAATTTACGAGTAAAATGATGAATATAGATTTGGTCTCACAAGCTAATGAAACTGTACAAAGGAAAAAATTTTTAATATACAAATATATATATAAATAAACTGAAATGAGCTTGGATGAAACTTTGATAACATAAAATAGGTGATTAGTTATGAAACAGCAATTATAAAATGTATATTCTTTAGCTAATTTTATATAGAATAAATTCTAGAAATAAAATTATTAAAATTTTTAATATACGTCACATGCATTAGTAGCAACTATACATGTAAAAAAACTATATCATCGAACAAATTTATTATTTATTAATTCTTACTTTCATATATGAATTTCTTTCTCGTTATACGCACTAAAATTAACCCATAGGCATATGAAGAAAAAAAAATGGAAAACTATGAAACAATTAACGCTCGTTGATACCATTTAAAAAATAGAGCATAGCATATTCAAGATAACAAACTAAAAATTATATTTTTCTAAATGTGCTAAAAGGAAAATATTATTTGTATACATTTTTTTAATTACATCCCAAAAATCCAAAAAATTGTACGATAAAGTTACTAAGGAATTTTCTTCCATTTTTAGTCTTATTTTTAGTTCATTATCATTTTTTTCTTAGAGTAAAATTATTTAAAGCTTCAAAATATAAAATTCTCTTTTTTTTTAACTGTTTTACTAGTTAATCATTGTATAAGGCATATTACATGGATAAAACACTTGGAATAAGAAATTAAGTATTATTAGTAGATTAAAAATGAGGAAAAAAATCAGAATATTCATGAATCTATTATCAAAATTCAGGTAAAACAGGAAATAGAAAGTATGTCTGACTTAATATATAATCGATATATATAAGTTATTCTGAACAAGATTTATATTAATATAGGGTATAAAAAAATAATTTAGCATTTTAAATATTGTTAACAAAATCAGAAGCAAACTTTATGGAAAATATTTTTCCATTACTTTATTACATAAATGTTTTCAAATAACGTACATGTTAAGATAACATAATAAGTAAAAAAAAATATATTTTATATAACTTTATGCGTATATGATTTAATGTTTTTCATTTACCCTGTCTGTCTATATAATTCTAATATCAGATTTAACATAAATGTTTTCCATTGTAACACATGAATATGATTATTAAGTATATATATAATACATATTATACAGGCAATATAGTAACTTTTGGAACATATGTATTATCTATTATTTATATTATCTTTTATGTTGCTAAGTACGAAAATATAAGCATCGAAAAGTAAAAGATAACACAAAGAAATATTTTTCATTATGTAAGGAAGTAATCACATAAACTCATTCTAATAATGTACTAATTATTATATAAATGGTTGGAAAATGCATTAATAATTTCTTATCCCTTTAAAATCGTTTAAACATAAATGTTTTTTTTTTTAAACAAAATATAGGTGAATTATGCATAGTTTTTGTGATCGTACGCATTATTTATAACCATGGATTTATATTAAGTATTATCATGTTTTAATAAAAAAATGTATATATTCTATTATTTTTATAACAAGGTTTAATATTGCAAACTTGTAAAAACAAAAAGCATGAATATTGTAAATATGAATGTGAATAAGCATGTATCAATATATTTTCCTATGTTCATTTTAATTTTTATTATGTAAAAATTAAAATTGGTCATGTCACTACATTATTTGATTTATATTTTTATATTGCAAATTGTTATATTTCTTTCATATATTTTTTTTTTTTAATTTATAAATTATTCCCTATTTGTCTAATACGAAACGTGCTCCTCTAGTTACAAGTCAAATATAAATTTTCTTTATTCCTTATTTAAAAAAGTATTGAGAATTATTGTTATTTATGTGCTTCTCTCTTAATAAAAATTAATTTCAAAAAAACATATATTCAACAATTTTTATAGAAAATATTAGCATATAGCACAAGTCTTAAATTATATTTTATTTTAACAAAAGTGTGGTTTTTTAAGATAGGTTTACATAACAAAATGTAAATATTTGATAAATTCCTCTTTAAAATCCTTATATTGTAATATCTCTTTAATTTAAAATTATTAAAACTTTATATATATGGAAATTATTATAACTTTTATTCCTTTACTGTTGTTTTTATACTTATATTAAAATTTATTTAATTAATAATACTTAAATTAAATATGTGCAATAATTTAAATACTAACATATATTATATATTTATCTTGTCACTATTTAATGAATCTAATGTGTCAGTGTACTGCGCTTATTCATCAATTAATGTATATCGAATAAAACGTTTTCTCCTGATTATTCGATGATAATGGTTTTTCAAATATGAATTCCTCTTCCATTTATCATTGTAGCAACTAACATAATTGCTCAAAATGATGCCTTTTGTGACATTTACTTTTATTTACCTGTAATTTATTCAATTTTATAATTAATTTGCAAAAAAAGTATTAAAATTTTATAATGCACTTTTGTTACATATGATTTACTTATAAATCCTTTTAAATACATAAGTTAAGAGTTTTATGTAACGTAAATGTTTAATATAATTTTATTAATAATTTCATATATTTATAAAAGAAGATTTATCCATTTTCCATTATTATCCCCTATACCATCACTTGCATCGAAGTAATAATTATCCAATGTGTTCTATTTACGATTTATTAATACTTCAATATTGATGTTATTTGTAAGTGAATAAATATCCAAAATAAGATCATTTCAAAATTATATACAATTTCGTCAATTTTATAAAGTTATTAATAAATTTTTTATGGACCTTAGTTATTTTATACACAAATTTCTTATGTATATATTTTGAGTATATTAAACATTTAAAAAAGGAGAAGTATATATTTTTTACATTTTTACTCATTCTTTTTGACTATTGTATAAGAATTGTATTCCTTATTAAAAATATTTGTTATTAGCTTACTTTTTTAAAACAGTATAATAAGGAGTTAACGGAATTATTATATACATTGATGTACACGTTATGATTGCTTCGTTTAAAATATATCTTTACAATTTATAATAGATTATGTATATATATTTCTATATGTTGTTTACCATAAATTTTTTTTTTAAAATGCATGTATAAAAGGTAAAAGATTATTCTGGTAAATTATAGCTATAGCTATTATATTTGAAATGAAGTTCTTGTAAATACATTACGCAAATGAGGAAATTTTTTCAACGTAAAAACAGAAATATTTCCTATATTTAATGCATGCTTTTTAATAAAATCATTATTTTTAAAAAGAAATTAACTAAAAAATAAATCAGTTTATATTAAAAAGTTAATTACTTTTTTTATACACGATTTATGTGCATATGAGTATGTGTAATTTGATTTATATGATGTTCAAAATAACTATGTTGAGCGAATTATCACATGTGTAATTTTAAAACAATGATAATTATATAGAATGATATGCTATATAATTTTGTTCCTTTTTCATATTGTTATTTCCTGAATCGTACGTATGTTCTAAGAATTCACGGAATGTTTCATCGTCTACATTGTGCCTGGAATTCTTGTAATTGTTAATAAATTTATTTAACGCGAATTTTAATGGTGTAAACTATAATTAAGAATAAAATATTAAAATATATGTATTATAGTTAAATTATAATTATGATTATAGGACGTAAATTCATTATTAAGTATATTAATAGATTTTTTAAATAAAAATGTTGTATACCTTGTATAAAACAGTAGAAAGAAGAATCATTCCAAGAAATGAAAGTCCTAATGACATACCGATAGGGCGAATACGATGTGAAGTTGTTGTTGAAGTAGCATCACCATACATTTCCCCTTCTACTTGCATTTCTCCAGGTACTTCACTTGGGTGTACATCTGTATATTGTGTGTTAGATTGTGAGTTTGTGTTTGAAGAATTTTTATCCTTTATAACTCCTTTGAGACAATGTACATTAAGGAAATCCAATTTAGGATTATAAGTTCTACATTTATCATAATACATTCTACATTTTCCTTTATCTTCTTCTGAAAATAAACTTTCACTTATTCCATATTGTGGCCATTTACTCTTAATATTGCCATAATAACTTATACAATCATCTCTAGCATTTTTAATTTTATTTGTATAATGATTTAAGCAACATTCATGAATATTTCTACCATTTGCAATATCGTGGAATGAAATAATAACCGATTCAGGTTTGCATATATTTGCTCCTGTTTTAAAATATTTATTATAATGATTCCATACATCATGCATATTTTCAATAATTTTTTTGTAATCCGTTGCGTCACCCGAACCTAGAGTATCATACACCGAATCTTGCAACCAATAGTTTAAAAGTTTACAACGTGCGAATAAATAAGATTCATTGTATCCATCGTATTTCATTTCTTCTACATTTCTTAGAAGTTTTTCACAAGTATTGAAAATATTATTATTTCCATTAACCTCTAGTAACTTCAAACAATAGGAGAAATAAGTCAACATTCCATGCTTATCATTCCATTTACCAAATAAATTATTATAAATTGAATCATTTAAGCATTCATTCTGAAAAAAAATATAAGAATTATAATATGAGAACAATTAAATTTGCATTTTAGGCGAAAATATATTTTGTATTATTTTGAAAAAATATATATTATTATTATGTATAAAGTAAAAAAACTCAGATAATTATAAATAAATATGCACCGTTTCGCTCATTCTAGTGATATTTTTGATAATTTTTTAATATTTTAAAATGAATAAATGGTAGAACTTTTTTAGAATATGCATATTAGTACACGTGTATATTTCAAAAAATGTAGAGTGTGATATTTTGTTATATTTGCATCTGTTTAGAATTGATAAAATATTGATTATTAATCATTATTCGTTAAATTAATTATAAAATTAACAGATAAATATAATTCCTACTTATATTTTCTATGTTAACCATAATAA